CCCCAAAACCCCAAAACCCCAAAACCCCAAAACCCCTTTTAATTATTTAAATATTGAAGAGCATATTTATGACGTTGCAATCTTAGTTTCAAAATTATTTAGGATACTCCCAAAACGTCATGTTTGAGTAAAAATTGTTTTCTTACTGATCATTAAGAGATCTAATCATGTAATGAAGGATACCGCCATTTTTGAAGTACTCTTTCTCTGGTTCTGTGTCAATTCTTACAATAGCCTTAAATGTCTTGCCTGTATTTGTGGTGACATCAATTTCTCCTCTTAATGGTAAGTCTCCTTTGTTGAGTTCGATATTGAATCTTTCAGTACCATCAAGCCCAAGGGTCTCTGCGCTTTCTCCTTCAGCAAATTGAAGAGGAAGAATTCCCATTCCAACTAAGTTGCTTCTATGGATTCTCTCAAAGCTCTCGGCAATAACAGCCTTAACACCTTGTAGATATGGTCCTTTAGCTGCCCAATCTCTTGATGATCCTGAACCGTATTCTTTTCCAGCAAGAATAATCATTGGTTTTCCTTCTTTTTGATAATCTTCAGCAACATCGAATACTGCCTTCTCTTCATTAGTGTTGACATTGACAGCAAGAGGGCCTACTTTAGAGGCCATCTTGTTGATAAGTCTGATATTAGCAAAGGTTCCTCTGGCCATGATTTCATCGTTTCCTCTTCTACTTCCATAAGTATTGAAATCTCTCTCAGACACTCCCTTCTCTTGGAGATATCTGGCTGCTGGTGAGTCTCTAGCAATCTTTCCAGCTGGAGAAATATGGTCTGTTGTGATAGAGTCTCCCAGATTGAGAAGGCAGTATGCTTCTTCAATATCTTGAACTGGATCCGGTTTCACACCCATCCCTGCGAAGAATGGAGGATTGTGAATATAAGTTGAATCATCCCAGTCATAGAGTTTTCCTGATCCTGCAGATAAGCTTTGCCAGTCTTTATTTCCTTTAGTAATATTAGCATAGTTCTTCTTGAAGTGTTCAGATTTTACAGACTTGTTGACTACTTCCCCAATTTCTTGTCTTGTTGGCCAGATATCTCTGAGATAAACATCATTTCCATCTTGATCTTGACCAATTGGCTCATTGGCAAAATCAATATCAACAGTTCCAGCTAGAGCATAAGCAACACAAAGAGGAGGTGATGCTAAGTAATTAGCTTGGGTGAGTGGGTGGACTCTTCCTTCGAAGTTTCTGTTTCCTGAAAGAACTGCTGCTGCAACGACATCACTATTTTCAATAGCTTCATGCACTTCTGTGGGAAGTTCTCCTGAGTTTCCAATACAAGTCATGCATCCATACCCAGCAGTAGTGTAGCCAAGTTGATCAAGGTACTCTTGAAGTCCAGCTTCTTGGTAATAAAATGAGACAACTTCAGATCCTGGAGACAATGAAGTTTTAACGTATGGTTTTACTCTTAATCCCTTTTTAACAGCGTTCTTAGCTATCATTCCTGCAGCAATCATGACGCCTGGATTAGATGTGTTTGTACAAGAAGTAATTGCAGAGATAACTACAGATCCATGCTTTAATTCAAATTCTTCTCCCTTGATGTTTAGCTTAGCAGTAGCTTTCGCTTGCTTTTCATCTAGTCCATATCCATGGAATCCAACTTCACTAGTAAGGGCTTCTTTAAATTCTTTCTTCAATGTTGACATCCTAACTCTATCGTGTGGTCTCTTTGGCCCAGAAAGACTTGGTTCAACAGAAGACAGATCCAAATGCATCAACTCTCCACTATACTTAGGAGTCTTTTCGTTGAGATAATCTCTGTAGAGTCCGTTTTGTTTTAAATATTCTTGAGTCATGTTGACATGATCTTCATCTCTTCCAGAGAGTTTCATGTAATTGATAGTTTGATCATCAACAGAGAAGAATCCACAAGTAGCACCGTACTCTGGGGCCATGTTTCCAATAGTAGCTCTATCTGCAATGGTGAGATTAGCAACACCATCTCCATAGAATTCAACGAACTTTCCTACTACACCTCTTTGTCTGAGCATTTGGACAACAGTCAATACCAAATCAGTTGCAGTGGTTTCAGGTGAAAGATCTCCAGTCAATTCAAATCCAACGACTTCAGGGAGAACCATTGAAATTGGTTGACCAAGCATGACTGCTTCAGCTTCAATTCCTCCTACTCCCCATCCAAGGACACCAAGTCCATTGATCATAGTAGTGTGGGAGTCAGTACCAACAACAGAATCTGGGCATGGCATTTCACCTCTGTTATAGACAACACTTGCTAGATATTCAAGATTTACTTGATGAACTATTCCACTTCCTGGTGGAACAATACTGAAGTTCTCAAATGCCTTCTGCCCCCACTTCAAGAACTGGAATCTTTCTCTGTTTCTGTTGAACTCAATCTGTTCATTTCTAGTTCTAGCATCGTCAGAGCCAAAGACATCGACTTGGACTGAGTGATCGATGACAAGATCGACTTGCTTGAGAGGATTGATCTTTTCAGGATCTCCTCCCATATTCTTGATTGCATCTCTCATAGCTGCAAGATCTACACAGGCAGGAACACCAGTGAAATCTTGGAGTACAACTCTTGCTGGGTGGAATGGGATCTCTACTCCTTGCTCTGATGTCTTCTCCCAGTTGAGAATCTTTTCAACATCTCCTTCCTTGACTGAGAAGTTGTCACAGTTTCTAACAGCTGATTCAAGTAAAACTCTAATTGAATATGGCAGCTCTTCATATCTAGAGTCTTGGAGAGCTGGCAAGTTGAAATACTCTTCCTTTCCCTTCGAAGCAGTGAGGGTTTTTATGTACTTTGAAAATGGATTTGAACTCCTGTTCAAGAATCTTTTCATTTTAAATAAGTTATAGATATAATATTATACAACCAATCTTTTTTATAAAACAAGGGGTTTTGGGGTTTTGGGGTTTTGGGGTTTTGGGG